CTCGCCCAGAACTGGAGCTCAGAGCCTGAGACTCCCTCCCGATTGAAAACAACAACCACGCCCTTAGCCGCCAGCCCACTCCGCATGCACTCTGCACCTTAGTATTTTACTTCAGCACTGCGCCTCCTCTGAATCTCGGTATGCTTTTCTCTTTCCTCCTAGTTGTAGAACTTCCAATCAGCCAGCCTTCCTGTGGTTCTGGATGATGTCCGTTCTGTCTTTTAGTTGTATTTTTGAAGTGGTTGTTCGAGGCAGCAAACTCCGGTGTTTACCTATGCCGCCATCTTGGTTTTTACAATTATTTTAATATCGACTTTTTTATCTTTCAGATAAATTTAGTGTAGGTGCATCTGAGATAAATAAATAATTTTACATAACATGTATAAATTAATGTATTTTTCATCATCATATATTGTTTTTGTCGCTTGAATGAATTTTATTATTTCTTCAAGGTTTTCCACATATGTACACCTTAAGAGATATCAAGTAGGTGTAACATGTTCTCAAAAAATTAGGGTTGGCACGCAGAACAATTTTGAGTCAGAGATTTTGCTGGTTTTGGCACGCACTCACAAAAACGTTGCCCACCCCTGCTCTAGAGGTTTGATTCCTAGTCGGGACACATGCCTGGGTTCCAGGCTCAATACCCAGTAGCAGGCAGGAGACTGCTAATCCATGTTTCTCTCTCTATCTCCCTCTCCCTTCCTCTCTTTCTCAAAATCAATAAGCTTTTCTTTTCTTTCTTTTCTTTTTTTTTTTAACTATCTTACTCTGTAGCCATTATGTTCAAAATGTTCAAATCTTGGTTCTGCCATTTACTGAACAGTGTAGTCTTGAGCAAATTACTTAATGCAGTGGTTCTCAACCTTCCTAATGCCGCGACCCTTTAATACAGTTCCTCATGTTATGGTGACCCCCAACCATAAAATTATTTTCATTGCTACTTCATAACTAATTTTGCTACTGTTATGAATCATAATGTAAATATCTGATATGCAGGATGTATTTTCATTGTGACAAATTGATCATAATTAAAGCATAGTGATTAATCACAAAACAATATGTAATTATATATTCAATATGTGTTTTCCGATGGTCTTAAGTGACCCCTGTGAAAGGATCGTTTGACCCCCAAAGGGGTTGTGACCCACAGGTTGAGAACCCCTGACTTAATGTTTGTGCCTTATCTGTTCACTCATCTGAAAAAAATGGGGTTAATACTTTCTTCATAAGGCTGTTGACAGGATTGAGTGAATTGTTTTATGTCTGGCATATTCTGAAACTGGATGAAAAGACTAAGACAAAAAGGTATAAAAAGACATTGGGGCCCAGCTGGTGTCGCTCAGTGGTTGAGCGTGGACCCATGCACACGGAGGTAACTGGTTCAATTTCCCATCAAGGCATGTGCTCAGGTTGCAGTCAAGCAGGGAACATAAAGACATTGAAGTGGGAGGAAATAGTAGTAATGTGTTTGATTTGTTAAGGATGGGAAAGAATGGAACCTGAACAAGGTGAGACAGGAATGACAACATTCAGTGTGTGGGCGACTTGGTTTATTTAGTAACTGGATAAACAGGCAAGAGTTGCTGGTTTTGTTTTTTCATTCTAATAGCACATCTGTGTAAGGCTTCTCCCTCAGTATATCATCTCTTGGGATCTAGTTTCTTGATCTACATTCCATATTGTTAAACATTGAACAGTATAGAATACATCTATCTAAGTAGATCTTCTGTCATTCATTTGATTTTTTTACTTTTTGCAACTTACTGTATTTCTTGGCCGTATTGTTTTTACCTTTAAGGTCATCTCCAAGACCCCTACCTCTGTCATTCAGTGATATTAATTAATATTTGCTGTGTTAAGAGATACCTTTTTTTTTTTTCACTTGGTTTCCACAATATCAATTCTGTTCTTCCCTCTTTCCTATGCCCACTCTCTGACTCCTTAACTGGTTACTCCCTCTCTGGAGCTTTACATATGAGAATGCCTCAGGACTAAGTCCTGACCTCTGCTCCTTTCCATCAATACTCACTTCCTTGGTGAACTCATCTGATCTCATAACTTCATGGTTTACATACTAGCAACCCACAAATTCATCTTTCCTGAACTCTAGGCTTATCTCTAACTTAAACATGTTGGAAACTGAATTGATTGATATTCCCCCTAACCAAAAACCTGGTTCACCCCATCTAAGTTATTAGCAATTACATCCTCACGGTTGCTCAGAACAAAGTCTCATCATGGTCCTTAATTCTTCTCTCTCTGGTACCCTGTACCCTGTCTTTAAATTCTGTTGGTGGAACTTCCAAAATCTTAGTAGCTTCATTTCTACCACCTTGATTCAA